TTTGAAGTGTTTGAAACATTTGACCCGTGTGACCTTGAAAGTAGGCCAAGGTAATGTTCATTCTCAAACTTTGTTGGGCTCTATCCCAGGAAGCCATCAGCCAAATATGAAGATCCTATACCTTTTAGTTCTTTAGAAGAAGTCGTTTGAAGCTTTTGACATATTTGACCCCTGTGACCTTGAAAACAGGTCAAGGTCATTTTCGTTCTCAAACTTTGTAGGGCTCCGACCAACGAAGCTTTCAGCCAAATATCATGACTCTAGGCCTGTCCGTTCTTCAGAAGAAGTTGTTTAAAGGAAAAGTTGACGGACGAGGACGGACTTTGTGCCAGGTGAGCTAAAAATGGGTCAACACGTACATAAAACTTGTTAACACATACGTGAAATAAGTAAAGAACATAATTTGGGTTAAACAGAATAATTAAACAATGCTGGGTTGAATTAAAAGGAACAATACGTTTTAGGTTGAACTGAAAATAGGTGAATACTCAAGTTACATATAGGTATATATGGTTTTTCTTCCTAAATTATTGAAAATGGGAGGATTTTTGTCATTTTTGGAAAATATAGCACTTTTCTGCTAAGGGAAACAGCCTGTATTTGACTGTTAAACCAGAGAAAAAAATCACTGGCATATAATTCAAGTTAACAAAGTGAATGCAAAAATTTGGTTGAGCAGAATTACTGATGTGTCAAAATGAATAGATTAAAGGTAAAAGTGGAGCTGGACAGACTGAATGTAATTGTAAGGTTGAACATGAATGAGTTAGGTTGAACAGATTAAAAGTATATTTTGATTTGATCAAAACATATTTTGGGTTGAAAATAAATATCTAAACTATGTAAACAACATTTAAATAAGTCAGGTTAAATGCAACAAACAAATCAGATGGACAGAGTAAGAAGTACATCAGTTGGGCTGATACAGTTTGGTGTGCTTCACTGGGTTTTAGCATCTAACAGCTATGGTCCTTATAGACTGTGTGCCTACATGTGTGTGTGTTTACTGACAGATCTACAATGTATATATGTTAAGTTGACAGATCTAGAATTTATATACCAGGTAAGTTAATATCGTCAATAAGATTCATCAGTTTGGAATATGTTATATAAAAGACAGATATTTTTTTGATATTTTATTTATTAAGTCGAACAGAAAGAGTAAATAAGTAAGCCTGACTCTGTGACTAGGTGAACATTGTTTTGAGGTTCGTTGTCCTGGAAACAGACCACCACTTTAAAATATGACTTTGGTTACCTGTTGGGGACTTTGAGGAAGGCTGTAAAACCGCCCCTGTCGGCGAGTTGGGACCAGAAACTCTTTAGCACCCTGTAAAGACAAAATATCAAAAATTAGAATCCTTCAAATACTGCCATTATCAGTCCAGCTTTAAATATACATAACATTATAAATATACATAACATTATAATGAGGTTTATAAAGATGTCTAGCAATGATATTGAGGGAGATACATTGAAGACTTGTTCAGAATAAATAACTGAGCGGTATACATTGAAGACTTGTTCAGAATAAATAACTGAGCGGTATACATTGAAGACTTGTTCAGAATAAATAACTGAGCGGTATATATTGAAGACAGTACAATGAGGTTTTACCAGTTCATTTATCTTTAACATGAAGGACATGATGTTGGATATGACAGAGTTCTGACCACTGCTGTCCTAGACAGCTGAAACATATCAGCAAGGGCGCAAACATCATAGTTAAGGGCGTAAACATTATAGTTAAGGGCATAAACATCATAGTTAAGGGTGTTAACATCATAGTTAAGGGCATAAACATCATAGTTAAGAGTTTAAACATCTTAGTTAAGGACATACACATCATAGTTAAGGGTGTAAACATCATAGTTAAGAGTGTAAACATCATAGTTAAGGGTGTAAACATCATAGTTAAGGGCATAAACATCATAGTTAAGGGTGTAAACATCATAGTTAAGGGCGTAAACATCATAGTTTAGGGTGTAAACATCATAGTTAAGGGTGTAAACATCATAGTTAAGGGCGTAAACATCATAGTTAAGGGTGTAAACATTATAGTTAAGGGCATAAACATCACAGTTAAGGGTGTAAACATCACAGTTAAGGGTGTAAACATCTTAGTTAAGGGTGTAAACATCATAGTTAAGGGTGTAAACATCATAGTTAAGGGCGTAAACATCATAGTTAAGGACATACACATCATAGTTAAGGGCGTAAACATCATAGTTAAGGGTGTAAACATCATAGTTAAGGGTGTAAACATCATAGTTAAGGGTGTAAACAGCATAGTTAAAGGTTTAAACATCTTAGTTAAGGGTGTAAACATCATAGTTTAAACATCATAGTTAAGGGTGTAAACATCTTAGTTAAGGGTGTAAACATCTTAGTTAAGGGTGTAAACATCTTAGTTAAGGGTGTAAACATCATAGTTAAGGGTGTAAACATCATAGTTAAGGACATACACATCATAGTTAAGGGTGTAAACATCATAGTAAAGAACGTTAACTTCCCTTGGGCAAAATAGAACAAGAGGCCCAATGGGCCTGCATTGCTCACCTGGTATTAATTTAACACTTGTAATCTTAAAAGTGGACTAAAATACAGCAACAGGCAGAATATCAGTGTTTGATTCATAAGACATTAGGTTGAAAGTGGGTCAAGAACATTCATTTGAGCAAACTTGGTAGCCCTTCATCCCAGCATGCTACAGGCCCAATTTCAGTATCCTGGGCTGTTTGGTTATTGAAGAAGAAGTGGTTTGAAGATTTTACGACATTTGACCCCTGTGACCTTGAAAGTGGGTCAAGGTAATTCATTTGAACAAACTTGGTAGCCCTTCATCTCAGCATGCAACAGGCCAAATTTCAGTACCCTGGGCCTTTTGGTTATTGAAAAGAAGTTGTTTGAAGATTTTAAGACATATGACCCCAAAGACCTTGAAAGTTGGTCAAGGTCATTCATTTGAACAAAGTTGGTAGCCCTTCATCCCAGCATGCTACAGGCCCAATATCAGTACCCTGGGCCTTTTTGTTATTAAGAAGAAGTCATTTGAAGATTTTAAGACATTTGACCCCTGTGACCTTGAAAGTGGGTCAAGGTAATTCATTT